ATAGAGCGAGACCCCATCTCTACACACATGCATGCAAACAGAGAGAGAGAGAGAGAGAGAGAGACCTAATTCATTCAAGCCCCTGATCTTTCAACTATCTCAGTACTTCTTACTCTATCCTCTGCTTTACAATGTGTAAAAGGGATCCAGGAGAGAACACGAAATGAGTTTCTCTTTCTTCCACCTGAGAAAGGATTTTCTCTTATCTTCACCTTAAAATGGTGCATTTTGAAGGATATGAAATTAAAGCATCTTTAAGGAAATCAGTAATCGTGAAGGAGGCAAAGGCTGGATTTGCTGTGTATTAAGGGATAATAAGAAAGGTCACAATATGCTGTAAGTACTAAGCTCTTTATAGTCATTCATCACCCCTATTGTAGTTCAAAAGTAAAGCACCACTGCCTCAATTCAGCAAATTACTCATCAGAGGCCATACTAAAGTATTTGTTCAAAGAAAGATATTTGTTTTGCATCTGGGTCTGGGTCACTGAATACATTCTATAGCATGAAAATTTTTTCTTCTTTGGGACCAGTAACTCTTTGCCCTAAGGAATGTTCCTCATGGGGCACATACTTGGAGTGACAAAACTCCTTCTTATCTCAGCTAAGATCCCGTAAATAAAAGAAAGTCTTAAACAAAGGTCTCAACATGGGTCTCATGGATATCTACTGATAAACGCTGAGACTTCAAGAAGCCCCTGAAATTGTAGGCAACATTTGCCATGTATGTCCATTTGTGCATTTGCAGAGGCAAAAGAACCTTGATACCTATTAGAGGTTCTTTTATATAGAACCTTGATAGCAATAGATCCTAAAGAGATTCAAAAGAAAAAAGATTCGAGATTCTTGCAAAAGAAAGTAAGTCTTCCTTGTGGCTTTAAACGCCTGCCATAACATATTTCTCTGGTGATAACATTTGCCTTCTAACTCATACTTTATGACTGTATTAAGTGTATTTTTGCTATAAACATTCAAAGGTGAGAAGGTAAATAAATTAATATGCAATCAAATATTAATAGAAGCAGCAAAGGTATCATACACGGCAGACAGGGAGCCTGCCAGTGGGCACTGCCAAGAGGGCACAACGCAGAGCTCACAAGTCCTCTCCAGAGAAGGGCCTCACACAGAGGATCAGGAGAAATATCAGCAGTTTCTTAAAGGGTGTTTGAGGCTATGCAAGACACGCTCCCAGGAACTGCTGTAAATGTGTGAAGCCCATTGCCATCATAGGGGCCACTGAAAAACTCTCCCTTTGCCCTCATAAGTTTTGTGGAAAAATCAATTCACAAAAGGCAGAATAATGGGAGAAAAGATATACAAATGTATTTAATTCTAGATTTATGCGACACGGGAACCTTCACAATGAAGATCCAGTGATACAAAGGAAACTGTCCTTTTTTTTTTTGAGATGGAGTCGCGCTCTGTTGCCCAGGCTGGAGTGCAGTGGCGCGATCCCGGCTCACTGCTGCAACCTCCACCTTCCAGGTTCAAGTGATTTTCCTGCCTCAGCCTCCTCAGTAGCTGGGATTACAGGTGTGCCACCACGTCCAGCTAGTTTCTGTATTTTTAGTGGAGACGAGGTTTCACCATGTTGGTCAGGCTGGTCTCGAACCTCGTGATCCCCAATCTGGTGATCCCTCTGCCTCAATTTCCCAAAGTGCTGAGATGACAGGCATGAGCCACCACACCTGGCCGAAACTGTCCGTTTTTATGCTTAGGTTCAACCAAGTATGGACAGCTGTGTTGAAATATGCTTGGACAAAAAGGATATAATATATACATTTCAAAAGGTATATTATGTACATTTAAAAGGGTATAATATATAAATTAAAAAATGCATAAAGGTATACATGTTCCAGTATTATTATTATTAGCAATAGATGGAGTGGGGAACCCAGCAAGTCCTGTCTGTCTATGTTTTTCTTGGCCTTTGGGCAATCCTTTCTTCTGGGTATGGGGCAGGATCCTCTCTGGAATAAAGAGGTCTGATGACCTACAGTCAAACAAGGTAGGTCACAGAATTTCTTTTCTTTCTTTCTTTCTTTCTTTCTTTCTTTCTTTCTTTCTTTCTTTCTTTCTTTCTTTCTTTCTTTCTTTCTTTCTTTCTTTTTGAGACAGAGTCTTGCTCTGTTGCCAGGCTGGAGTGCAGTGGCACGATCTCAGCTCACTGCAACCTCTGCCTCCCGGGTTCCAGCGATTCTCCTGCCTCAGCCTCCCGAGTAGCTGGGACTAGAAGTGCGCACCACCACACCCAGCTACTTTTTGTATTTTCAGTAGAGATGGGGTTCCACCATGTTGGTCAGGATGGTCTCAATCTCTTGACCTTGTGATCCATCTGCCTTGGCCTCCCAAAGTGCTGGAATTACAGGCATGAGCCACTGTGCCCAGCACATAACTTCTTTATGGCCATTTTTTTTTTTTAACACAGAAAGGCGGGAGGAAAGTTAAAGTAGTATTTTTCTCTTTTATGGCTGGCTTTGGGGAAAGCAGTTCTGGTTTCTCTGACCCAGCTTGGGGAAAGATTCTAGTTTCTGTGGCTGGTCCCAGGGCAGCACAAGGGACCAGAGACCGGAGGGCAGGCAGGAGAAGGTCAGAGAGAAACTTTTGTTTCTGAGGCTGCTGCTGAGGCGTTCACTTAGCAGTATCCTTTTCTGAGCCCCAACACTATTGAAGAAGCAGTTGTCAGCACACACACAGGAAGAGGAATCACATGCATATGCAGATGTGTAGCACGGAAGGAACACAGGGCTGAGGGATCAAACACTCCTGCTGTCATAGGCAGCCTGGGAGAAGGTGTAGATCATTTCCGTTTCACACATCACCACTTTCCTAAAGGGTATCTTGGTCAAGCATCGACTGCTTGCACTCAGCAAAGCTCCTGGGATTCATCAGTACCTGTCATCACTCTCCTTACATGGATCAACGAGTTATGTGATTCCTGTATACAAACTGGCATTATAAACCCTAACTGTACCCAAGGAACCAATATGGCGCATTACATCAACAGTGTAGCCTGAAGGATTCCCTGGATAGACACTGCTGAGTCCCAGCCTGATGGCTTTAACAGAGGCATTAACTTGTTTTGTGTCAAACAGCTGTGTTAAAGATTCCCTAAATACATAGTGACGCGGCAAGAATACATTAGTAGCTACTCACTGTGCCAATCATCTGAAGTTAATGGTATAAGAGGTTGCATGTGAAAACCAGCAAAAAGTAGATTTGCTTTGTTAAGATTCACCTAAGCCCAGTTTTTGGATTGTAATAACCCTGTCAAACTCTTTGATGCTTTGAAGTGAGTGGTCCTACTGCACAACCTTCCCAGAGTCTAACACTAAAGTAAGCAAAAGTGAAAGATCAGCGATTTGAGCCGGTTGTACAGACCTGATACTCCACACTCATAAACTATGCGTGAGCTATTAAATTCATGGGTATTACAAGGGGAGAATTAGGCCAAGTTTCAGATTTGACTCCACAAGTGTCACTAAGTTTTACCTAAGTTCATGACTAAAGGTAAAACCCCCAACCCTGGAAAACCCTGCATTTTCCCTGGAAAGCCTGGGCAGCCTTTCTGCTGATGCCCATGAAGGGACTGGATGGAAAGAACGAACCTGTCACCATTCATAACCAAGGTCAGGGGTTAGGTGAGCCCACATGTGAAACGCTTCACACCTGATTAGATTTCGAAGCAGGACTCGAACTTAGTTCTTCTTTTCATTATACCTTATTGCATCTCTGTTAAAGACAGAGGAGGAGTGCCATTTGGACAATCGAGCCCTCTCTTTGTATTCCCCACAGAACGTCACAAAGCACTAAGAGCTTAGAACTAGCTTATCGAGTTAGAATAACATGTAAATATCTGGAATTTTAATAATTTGTTCTCATTAAAATAGAAAAAATACATATGTATCATACACACAAGCACACACACACACACACACACACACACTTTGTCTATGTATTTATTTTCCACACAACATTGTCACATTATATTCACTGTTTTATTATGTGCTTTCTCCCCCTTGGCAGTAAGTTATCAAAGTCAGCTGACTTAGGAAATAAAAGTTTTTTAAAAGCCTAATGATATGTTGCATGGCATGATCTGAAGCAGGTATCATCCATGGGAGTTCTTCTTGACCTTAGGAGAGCTAAAATCCGTAGTACCGCCAAAGGTTTAAGACTTCGAAACACACAACATGTCTACCTGTCTACCGTGCCTGTTCTTCCCAATGCCCCGTCCAAATCCCGACCTTTGTGGCTGGAAGCTGTGATACTCCTTTGCTGCCAACTAGTGGCAAGTTTCAACTTTAGACAGACGTTTCTCCTGCTGAGCACAAAGATTCAATGTTCTAACACCACAAAGCCTGGAAGGGGCCGTATGGGTTCCTAGAGAGCAGCATTTTCAGGTTGCGAGCCATAACCCTAGAGTATTTTATGAAACCAGTTTCATTTTTTAAATGAACCCATTACAAAATAAAGGAATAGAAAAAATATCAAGTATATCCTATGAAGTGAATGAAAGTGTTAGATTATGAAACTCTACTTTCAGTTATTTTGTGCATGTGTCCCCCTGGGTCACAAGGTAACCTGGACACAGATTTTAAAAATTGAAAGCTGCTGAACCAGGGAAAGGAGCCATTAGAACAGGAGGAGTCCAAAGTTTGCCTAGAATCCTTCACACTTAAAAAGTGTAATGCATTAACTCATTAAGTCTAGAATTCCTCTAAGAGCTTCAGGGCTTGAAGTGCCTGGCTTCCATACTTGTTAAAAGAAGCAAACCTTTGACAGATTCTTTACTGCCTGCTGCTGGGTTCTTACAGGAAAAATGAAAAGTGTGGAGCCTGACTTATTTTAATCATAAACCTAGGCATGTTTCTGGAATAATGAATCTCCTGATTAAAGACTGCAAAGTTCAAAGACTCATTTTGGCTGCAGGAAATAAAATGATTTGGAATTAAAGGTGAAGGAATTGAAGCAGGTGAAATGTGAATGGCTTAAACTGAAGCTGTAGTACAATCTTTTGCCTTCTAAGAAATCTCAATGAGAAGAGATTATCTGAGGAGACAATTTGCATTGGAACCATCATTCAGGCCTGGCAAAGCATCCATAATTTTAGGACACAATAAAAAGTTTCTGCTTCAACTTTCAGAAGTTGACAACTTTAATAAATGAGACATGATGATGTCCAGAACTAACTATACAAAAATATAGTGTTAATTCCACTAACTCATTAATGTAAGCCACAAATAAAAAATGTGGTAATCAATTCATAGGGCTTGAATTGATAGGCTTAAGGGTGTACTTTGGGAATTAATTTGAGAGTTCTAAGTCCATGTCCTTTAAAATGGTCTATTTCTTGTGAATATCATTATGTATCTGTTTGACTCAAGATCTATATCCTTCATAAAGACTTCCCTGACTTTCATTTCTTTTAACAGAAAATATTTATATTGTGAAGAATGTATTTATAAATAACATATATTTTGAACTGGAATAAGACACTAAAATGTATACCACATCAGGTTGCTCACTATTTAATGTATGATAATTTTTTTCACCTGGATCCTGACACGTAAGGACAGCATTTCACATATTATTCTCTCAGACAATATGGTCTCATACGGAGCACAAACTGCCTCCTCAACTAATATTGATCAAATAGTAAATGGGAAAATAAGAAGGAAATTAGCATTCATAACTATGTGTCAGACCCTTAACATATATTATATTATTTGATGTCCACAGAAATCCTGAAAATCACTAACAATTATTCCTATTTTACAAATAAAGAAACTGAGCTTGGTAATAATTCACAGAGTCTGGCAGGCCTCCAGAACCTAGAGACCTTTCCACTATAACAGGGATGATGGCAAATATGTGTCATCCCTGGAAGACAATCACAATGCTCTTCCCTACTGAGGCAAGATATAACATCAGAATCCTTCTCAACCTAGTGGTTTGGGCAGCTTCAACCAACTGATCCCAGTAGGTTCAGGAGTAGAAAACAAATTGCAATTCCTATCATTCGGTCCAAAGTCTCCAAGACACCTCCCAGCTCAGATAGTCTATACTTCCTACCCACACTCTTTAAAGAGTTATATTATAATGAATTATGAAAGGCAAAGTCCAGGTTAGAAAATGAAGCTCCAAGCTGTCACTTTGTCAAAAAGGTACAACTGCCAGTCAAGGCTGTCTGCGCCTCCAGCCTCCAGCCTCCCTCTCTGATTAATTTCCTTCTACCATTTCTGGCCCCTTTGCATCACTGTCTCTTTTCCAGCATGATCCTAGAGCTGCTGTGTCCAATACAGCAGTGCTATCCACATGTGGCTATTGAGCACCTGAAATGTGGCCAGCTCCATGTCAGAGGTGCTGTAAGTATAAAATACACTGTAGATTTTCAAGCTGTGGAATGAAAAAGAGATAGAATATCTCACTAATAATTTTCTATGTTGATACATGTCGAAATTGTATTTTGAATGTTGAGTTGAATAAAATATATTGACGATTTTTTTTCTTTTGAGACAGAGGTTTGCTCTGTCTGCCAGGCTGGAGTGCAGTGGCGAGGTCTCGGCTCACTTCAACCTCCACCTCCCTGGTTCAAACGATTCTCGCTGTCTCCACCTCCAAAGTAGTCGGGATTACAGGCACCTGCCACAATACCCAGCTAATTTTTTTGTATTTTTAGTAGAGATGGTGTTTTACCAGGTTGGCCAGGCTGGTCTCAAACTCCTGACCTCAGGTGATCCACCCACCTCGGCCTCGAAAAGTGCTGGGATTACATGCGTAAGCCACCGTGCACTGCCTATTGATAAAATTAATTTCACCTGTTTCTTTTTACTTTTTTGTAAATGGCTACTAGAAAATTTAAGCATATGTATGGCATGTATTTGAGGCTTGCATTCTGTTTTTATTGGACAGAGCCACATCTTAAAGTCTTCCATTTGCTATCTTTGCTGCTTCTGTCATCCTTGCTTCTGTATGGCTACCTATTCCATTTTCAAGGCTGGCTGAACCTGCATCTTTAGTTGCTGGCTCGTGGCTGCAGCCTTGAGTTGGTGATAGAGGAGCCATTCTGTCTATCCCTACTCCGCTATAGCTTCCCTTTGCAACAACTCTCTGCTGCCCCCTGTTGCTGCCAAGCAACCTCTGAACTCAGCCCGATTTTAGCTCTTCCAGCGAAACCCCATCAAACTCCAGCAATCTTAATTTCTTAGGGTTCCTTTCAGAGATACTTAGCAACAGATTGAATTTAGACTAGGAAAGTGTGAAAACAATCAAGGCTATTCCTCCTTGGACTTGGAGTGCACCTTCTTTTGCAGGGCATTCAACCAGATCAAGCAATCACATCTGCAGCTAATTGATGCTGCATCCGAAATAGAAGGTCCCTTCTGATGATAGCTTACCAATATTCACAGCCTGGGAAATGGTAGCAGAAGTTAAATGACTGAGACCGTGTTTGGAAACAGCTAGAGCAAGTCATATGGCTATAAAAGGTCCAAATATGAGATTCTGAACAGGAACTGACTCTAGGAAGGAGGTAAATGCAGAGAGACTCCCCAGGAAGGCTAGGCTACCTAGAAAGGAAAAGGAACAAACCCAATATGTGTTTCATTGATCAAAGGTCGCCACCACCAGGGGGCAGTAGAAAAACAATTGTTCAAAGATCTGAGTTCATATCTCAGTTCCACCACCTTAGTGTATACCCTTGATCCTGTCATTTAACTTTTGCATCTGAAGACTAAAGACAATAATGCTCATCTAACCCTGAGAGTGTCAATTACATAAAGCATATGAAGGGTTGGGGTTGCAGGAGGAAGGAGGGGATGACAGGGGTAGCTGTCTCTCCCTGAGTTTCCCAGATTGGGAAAAACGTGTATCTACAGGGAATGTGATATTGGCCACAAGGCACATGAAAACAGCTCTGTATATTGTGAACGTAAATCTCAGTTTTGTTCCTTCAAAACAGCATAAGGATACAGTTTGTTCAGCAATAATGAATATTTTACAAAAGGAATGAAGTGACTCCCAATAGCACTGTGAGAACACTGCATTCGGTTGTGTTACTCCCATGACCACGCCCGCTCTCCAAAAGTTTAGGCACGTACATGAATTCACAGATGCAAAAGTTCTGTGGACTCTTTTGTGTCACTCACCTTCTTGCTTCTTTATCATCATGTCAAACTTGCTCCCACTCCAGGGCCTCTGTGCCTGCTCTTCCCCCTGACTGAGATCATCTTCACCTGTCTCCCTCCCTCACTTCTCTTCTGCTCATTATGATCACCTCTTTTGCTGCATCCACAGGGAGACCTTCTTAGGTTACACTTATCTCATAAGACAACTGTGCACCGCGCATGACTCAAATTTACAAAAAGGAGATCTGACAGAAACAAATTGAGCCTGCTAAAACCATAGTCTTAAGCGTCCCTTACAGCAATGGGCATCCTTGAGCAAGTCATGTGCTCACATCGTCCACAGTGGGGCTGGAAGAGATCCATGTCACACGCTGCAGGAACTGTCCTGATTTAAATGCCTCCTGCTACACAAGAACTAATAATTTTTGCAATAAATCTACAGGCATTTTTTTTTTTGAGGCGGAGTCTTGCTCTGTTGCCCAGGCCGGAATGCAGTGGCACAATTTTGGCTTACTGTAACCTCCGCCTTCCAGGTTCAAGCAATTCTCTGCCTCAGCCTCTTGAATAGCTGGGATTACAGGTACCTGCCACCATGCCTGGCTAATTTTTGCATTTTTAGTAGAGATGGGGTTTCACCATCTTGGCCAGGCTAGTCTTGAACTCCTGACCTTGAGGTCCACCTGCCTTGGCCTCCCAAAGTGCTGGGATTACAGGTGTGAGCCACCACACCTGGCCATGCATTTTTATAGGCTCTTCACAACCAGCACGCTGATGACAAGACTCACGGACTCAGAGAAGCCCAAAGCATAGCAGCTCTTTATAAATAAATCAACTTAGAGTTTATTTACAGTGCCTTCTCGCTCAGATACAACTTACTAATCTGGCATCATTTTTACCATAAGCAAGCTTGCTTAATAATATAATGGGCATGTTTACCCTTATCAGACTACCAGAGAAACAGATCTAGACTGAAGCTCAGATTCTTATGAAGGGGGAGATTTTACTAGCCCGCAACATCTAAGATCACTGTATGTTCTGTTACTCTAGAATTTTCAAACCTCGTGTCCAATCCACAGCATACATCACTGTTTATCGACCGATGTGTTTGTTACCTGGCTCCCCAACCATCAGTGTTATTATAGCAGATAAGTTATCTGATATATTCCCTGCAGTACTCAGGGTCTAGAAGTATGTCTGGGACAAAGTAGACACTCAATAAATATGTGTTAAATGAATGACATCCAATATCTGTGGTTTTGGACGAACACAAGAAACCCAGGCCAGTAATGAGTAATGGTGGCTTAACTGGCAAGTATTATGCAGACATGCAAGTGGGCAGGCAGTCTATCAGTATGTCCAGAGTCATACCTTTGGGAGCTGGTCCCAAGAGCACTTGGGTTCAGATTCGTAAGAGGTCTACGGTCTCTGTCAGGGATTTTGTTATGGAGCAGTCAGTAGTGACCTAGTTTAGGATTTAAAAAAGTAACTCAAAAACAAGAGCAACAAACAGAGAACAACTTAAATCTAGCTAATGGGACAAGAGAATACCGACGTCTGAGTGGGCTGACCACCAGCACAGTTTCACTATGCTGCCATTTGACCTCTACAAGAGGCCTCAGCACAAGAGTTGATCAAATTACCATGCTTTCCACCAGCAGCATTTCCCAAAGATTCTGGGAGATATTAATAGACAGTACTCAGGAGAAGGTTTTTGCTTGGCAAATCTCTGGCTAAACACCTTTTTAATTAAGAGACTTCTCTGGGAATTCACTTTGTCAATCCCAAAGAGAGAACACAAAGCATAGCATTTTCCAAACATGTTTAGATCTCCTTCCTTCACTGAGCATCTCCCTCTGTGAAGTCCTTTTGTACTTTGGAGAAATTTACATAAATTTGTTTTATACTATTTGGTAGAGAATCATGTATTACATATAGTATGACCTAAACTGCCCAAATGAGTAAAGAACTAGGCTGAAAGCAAAATTCATATATCTCATGTGATTTGAGGTATAGAATTTAACTATAATATATAAGATTTTTAAATGTATATGTATACAGCTAGTGCTCGACTTACAACCACGGTTGGGACCACGGACTGGTTGTAACATGATTTGGTCGTAAGTTGAGTAGGCTATATGTACAGTTGAAATGGTGCACGCGGAGATGGTAGTGCTGCTGGAAGCTGGTCCGCACTGTCGTACGCCCAGCTGGGCAACGTTTGCGCTGCCAGACACGGAGCAGTCGTGGCTAGCGATTGTGGTCGTAAAGTCGAATGGTCGTTAAGTTGCATAGGTGGTAAGTCGATCAATACCTGTATCTAAAAATATAGTTAACTATATATACACTATGTATATAGTTAACAATTTAAAAACAACTGTCCCTATTCACTAAAGAGTTCTATTTATCCTGTTCTTATCCTCTGCCCAGGGATGAGCTCCTTTATGTATTATAATCTTAAGAACCAAATATTCACGAATCAATAGTACTTACACAACTACAA